CTTCCAGTTAATGCGCCCAAGTGTCCTCATCGCAACAATCTTATGACGGTTTCATGAATTTCATGCATAGGGATGAGGAGGTACTTAACTTCAACTGGGTTTCCACGGTGTTGTATAGTTTACTAGTGTCTCAAAATATGTTCTAAAAAGATGCTATGATGCCTTCATTTTAGGTTGATTATTCCCTTCGAGGTACGATAATGTTCGTCATGCTGAGAGATACCCCATTCCATCAGATATCTGTGTTGAAAGCGTGAGAAGGTATATATCTACACTCGACTTCTTTATATTCTTGAAATTGAAGTTTTAGAACTTGATGCTGAATGGACGCTGGGGAATACTTGAGATGAATATTCTTATGAATGCTGAATTTGCCAAACTTATTGGTTAATGCAGTGTGTCATTGAGAAGGAGAACAACTTCAAACAACCTGGAGATAGATACAGATCATGGGCTCCAGACAGGTAAACTTGGCTTGCCTCAAATTTTTAATAAAAAGATAATTATGAAAACAAACACTCATATCTTTTGTACATTGGAATCTGACTGCTTTCAGGCAAGAGCGATTTATCAGCGGTGGATTAATGCTTTATCTGACCCAAGAATAACCTATGAAATCGCAGTATATGGATTCATACTGGATCAGGTGAGTTCCCTTTTCTTCAAGTGGTGGCGACTATTGCAATCAAATTGAAGGATTAACTGTTGGAAAATCTTCTCGAAAATTGAAATGTTTTAAGTTGAAGAATTAGTTATACTTTTAATTGATGTTGTATTCTGGTTTGAGTACAGGCTGACAATCTCGGGTCAGAAGTAGCTTCACGTCTCAATGTAGGCCATCCATTTAAAGGTGACTCTGGAAAGGATGTTTTCAATTGTGGGGAATCAACAAGGAGTAAACAAACATATGGGGTGGCGGCTGCTGTCTAAAGAGTGTTAAATAATCCATGTTTGCGGTGCTGTATTGTAATATGAATAAATTTGTCTGTATGTGACTCTTTCACCTGCTGTTCCCTCTATAAAAACCGTTTCATGTTTTAAGTTACTATTATGTCACTTGAATTTTGCTACATTTATGTTCGATACTCGAATTGCCCCAGTTTCTCGAGTATGTGCCCTGCTTCAACTGGAAATTTCCTAATCAAAGTGTTTGTTGTATAGTTAAGGGTTGATCCCATTCTTATTGTCCTGTTCTAGAGTCTTAGAGTGGTAGCAAAATCTGCAGCTCAGACGGTTCTGGGTTTACTGTGGGTATTCAAACCCTTCTCGGTCCAAACTGCATAAAACAGTCCTTGATGTCAAGAGTCGCGTTTTGGAGGACAACCAAAACCTAGGTGCGTCCTCACTCTACCTTTTCTTATACGCATTAATCCATTATAATAGCCATCAGGCCAATTGTTGTGGATATGTAGTATAATATGAACGTAAGATAAAAAATAAATAATATGGAATAACTGCTAATTGAACAAGAGTGTTTTAGGTTTGAAACATTGCGCCCAATCATTAACAGATGTGTTGTTGTTATAACGATCCTTCCTTCACTTTGTTGTGAATATATTGTCTCTGTCATTAGTTAACTGTAGAGCAGCATATTTAAGTGATATAGAACGACAGTGGCAGAGTTTTAGCTGTGGAATGACTAGAGGATTAATCCATTAATGGAAGATCAAATAAAAATGCAAAGTACAGCCAGCTGCATGTTATTGAGAAAGTGATTATGCTGCGAACATGGTGATTCGGCAGTGCCTAAGTGTTACCAATCAAGGAGTTTTTTTGTTCCCGTGGAAGGCTGCTACCAGCACCTGCCCAGAATGCTAGAATAGTGAATTTCCCGGAATCGTTTTGATCCTATAACAGGTGATGTTGCACTTATGCTCTTCAATTGTATTGACTTCAGTTACGGGTTTTATGAACCAACCTTATTCATTTTTATGGTTTTTGTCCTATATATCTACCGTGTTCTGGCACTGAACTGATCATGGACCCTGCTTGGCTTCAGATGTTAGGTCTAATGAATTTGGGGCATCAGGTGATGGTTTGGGAGCTTCAGGGACTTGGTAAAATAGAACATTTGTTTATTTGAAGCTTATTTTTCCTCAAATGAACAATTACAGCAACAATCTCAGCCAATTGAATTATCCTGAGCTGGTTCACATCATGATATATGATTACAATCCCAGTATAACAAGCAACGCTGAATCTTTAACTGGGTATGCAGCATGTCTAGGCACTTGTATGAACAAATTTGAAGCACTCAAGGGCCAAACGTATGGTTGGGATCGCAGAAAAGTCCTCTGTCTAGCAGTTTTCCAAAGTGTGATGAGCGCAGGTCCAAGATCAGTCAACCATATCTATAACTGTTTCTGACACAACGTGTGGAATAATTCTGCCCCAAGTTCTACTCCACTGCTAAACCATGGACCCCATGCTGGTGGTAGCTCTATTTGCCCTGTTGTTTTTAATCTTTAGGTTCAGATCTTGTGCATGTACAATTTTTGCTTCCGAATCCGTTCTCTTAAATCTCGGTTTTTCCTCTCTGTTAGAAGAAAAACTGTAGAAGCATTAGGATGATACTCTGCCATCTTTACAGACTTGATATGTGAAATTAATTTAATGAAATTCAACTGTTTTCACCCTATTCTTTATAGATTTATGATCAAATAACATCTTTCGCCTACTCTTTATAGATTTGTTAGAATTATTATCTTAAGGATAGTTTAGTGTTTTCCATGTATAAGAATAGTTTAACCTTTTCTCTTTTGTTTTCGTTGTAACCTATTTATTATATCTTTCCATTGTATTGTTTGGTGTGGTTATGATAAGTGAAACCTTAGTCTTATCTGTTTTGAGTTTCTTCAATATACCGGTTTTTCTTTAATTTATCATTGTATCGAAGGAGGTTTATTTGAGGTTTGGACCTAGTCCGTGAGGGAGGGTGTTAGAAATTTAATTTGTCTCACATGACCAAATTGGTTAAGTTCAAAGACTGTTAGAAGGTGAATTTGTCTTATATCGCTAAGTTATATAAGATAAATTCAATTTCTAACACTCTTCCTCACGTTTGGTATGCGAGGTCAAAGTCTAAACCCCCCACCAACTTGGTGATATAGGGTTAAGGTTCAAACAGTAAACAAACATGGTTCTAATATATTGATAAATCAAAAGAAAACCAATATATTGAGGAAACTCAAAAGAGAGAAGGTTAGGTTTATTCGCTAGAACCACACCAAAAAATACGATGAAAATATATAATAAATAAGTTACAAGGAAAAAGAGAAAATGTTAAACTACCTTTATACTTTAAAAATACTAAACTACCCTTAAGATAGTAATATTGAACTCTAGCAAAAGATAGAAAAACATTGAACATAATAGGAAGGAGAGAAAGAAAAAAAATAAAAAATAAATCAATTTATAAATTATTATAATTTAGAATTTTATGTGTACTTAGGATGATAGGAAGTGATTTTTGTGAAGAAAGTTCTTGAACATAAAGAATATTTTTCACACTTTAATATAAAATTGTGGGCCCAAAAGGTCAGGCGTGTGGCTAAGCTGAGCTCACATCCATACCAATCTTAATCCTCCAAAACTGCTGCTCTTCAAACTCTATCCTATTCCTAGCCATTTTCTGGTTTTCAGAGCACACGTTTCAATGCTTTTCACGTATACGTGGCATCCTCAAAATGGTCCATGTCATTTCCTTTCCATTAGTGGTTACCAATTCCTTCTCAGAAAACACCAAATCCCAGGATAAGGAACCCTCAATTCCTGACGTTCTCATTTTTTTTTTTTTTTCTAATAATATTAGATAATTATATCTCTTAACANTAGGTTAATTATTCGACACTAATTATTAGTAGTTAACACATGATAAATAGTTCTTGAATTATTATAGGGCGAACGACTTGTGCATACCCAAGGTTTACCGTACAACAAGTTGGTACCTAAAAGGTTTTGAAATGACAAATAGATACCTTTCGTCATGTTCTGTTAGTGATGTCTGTTTATTAATAGTGAAAAGACTAAAATGCCCTTTAAAGTTTCAATTTTAGTTTTTTATAAATTTAAAAATCTCTAAAAAACCCCCTAGGTTTGCTAATTTAATTAAACACCCCCATATATAAAAAAGTTTGTTAAATGACAAAAACACCCCCACCACCCCAGTGCCAGATTCCGACCACCATCGCCGGAATCTGGCCGAAAAACTGCATTAGGACACAGACCCGTCGGATCTGTGTCGTAACGTGCCGATTTGGCCGGAAAAGGCAAGATCTGGCCGTCGAAGCAGCAGCCAGATCTGGCCGTCGAAGCAGCAGCCAGATCTGGCCGTCGAAGCAGCAGCCAGATCTGGCCTTTTCTGGCCAGATCCGTGGCTGATCTGGCCAGAAAAGGCCAGATCTACTGCCAGATCTAGCCGTCGACGCCGCAGATGGAGTTTTGCGGCATCGACGGCCAGTTCTAGCCGTAGATCTGGCATTTTTCGACCAGATCAACCACGGATCTGGCTGGAAAAGGCCAGATCGACGCGTTACGACACAGATCCGATAGGTCTGTGTCGTAACGCAGCTTTCCGGCCAGATTCTGGTTGTGGTGGCCAGAATCTGGCACTGCGGGTGGCGGGGGTGTTTTTATTATTTTATAAAATTTTTATATATTGGGGTATTTAGTTAAATTTGTAAACCTAGGGGGTTTTTTAGAAATTTTTAAATTTATAAAAAATAAAATTCAAACTTTTAAGGGTATTTTAGTTTTTTCATTATTAATAAACAAAAATCACTAACAGAACATAACGAAAGGTACCTATTTATCATTTTAAAACCTTTTAAATACCAACTTATCGTTACGACAAACCTTAGATACGTGTAAGTCGTTCCCCCATTATTATATCAAAACATTTATAGCATATTTCTTCGTACCAAGCTGCGTATAAACGACAAAACATTTGCAACGTGTCTGGTCCCAACATTTGACTATTTACTGTAATGAACGACGATTAAATCGGCAGATACTACGTGCGGTGGCCACGAGCCTTTATAAATATGGCCCAACTTTGGACACTCTCCAGTATCACCTCCTCTTTTCTCTCACAGCATCTCCCAAAATAAATCTCTCTCTACTTCACTAACTTTCGCCATGGATCCATACAAAGTATTGTTCTTTTTGCTCTTTTAATTACTTTGCTGAATCTCTCTTTATTTGATTCTTATATATATTCTTGAGTTCTGATCTGATCATTTTGTTATTAAATTATTTGTGTGTTTTGATTCAGCTTGGTGTGATCTCGATTCTATTAGAGTTGTTTATACTTTTTTCAATGGTTTCTTTTATGGATTAAGCTTTCTTTAATGAATCAGACCACGCGGCGGTGGATCATTCCTTTTGATCATCTCCTTGATTATTTTATATTTTATAAGACTGATTTAAATATGCTCTAATGATTTCACATGTGATCAGGATAATGATGCAAGCTCTAAGAGAAAACAACACAAACACTAACGCCTCACCTTCTGCAGAATGTATCTCAGAAAACACGAACATCATGAACAACAGCATTCGAAACTCGATTATTCTGAAGAAAAAAAAAAAAACAAAAAAAAAGGCCAAATTAAAGATGAATACATCTGAAATCCTGGAGTTTATTTGACTTTTAACTTTAAAACAACACCGTCTTATGATTTTCTAAATACTATATATTTTTTTGTTTTACGAAAATGATTTTTTTTATTTTTTTATTTTTTTATTTTTAGATCTCGAATATTCTTAGATCAGACTTGACTGATCTAAGATTGAGATTTGCATACGACTTACGTAGGAAATATAGGAAAGGTGGCATAAAATCTGCATGCGGCGGGAGGTCTTACATCCGAGCGAAAGGTCCAAAAAACGTCAAGGCAAACTAGAAAACATTAAATGTGAAAATAATTTTCTTGTGATATTTCAATATGCAAACAACTTTCTGTTTCCATCATATTTCCCATTCGAGAATCCCGAACAAACGGCCGAAAATATACCCACAAAACATAGTTCGAAAATTGACCGAAACAAGCTAGTTTCCAGACAACATCATATTCGCGGCATAAGCATAAATCCAGAGAAATGAACGTTCTTAATTAATTAGACTAATCACTGACGCAGTCATGTTGCTACTACTCATACAAAGTTTTTCCTCTTGGCTGTCAAATTATTTCAGTCGGTATTATTTTTGTTTGGTTGCTGAGAAAATGAGTTCTAGAGAAAAGAATACTAGTAATTGTTATAGTGTTCTGAGCTTGTTGCTTATTTTGTTTGTATGGTGATGGCAGCACCTTCCGTCAAGCGCTTACAATACCCCGTTTATGACCACTAATGCCGGAGCTCCTGTCTGGAATGACAACAATTCCTTGACCGTTGGACCTCGAGGTTAGTGTTAAGAGAGCTCTCTATCTTCATAACCGTTGCCGTTGTTCGATCTCTGTTTCGGATAAATTTCCTTTTATATAAAAGACGGGATATGAATTCTGATGATAGTTGATGGATCCTAAACATTGACTTGGACTGATTAAGAAGCTGAGAATTTTGGATGTCTTGAAACTGTTTGACTACATCAGGATTATGAATAAATATACAAGGTTATTTGTAAATGGATATTGATTTTCCTAATTAATGAACTTTTTCAGCTCAATTTAATATGCAGAGTATTTGAAGGACTTTGTTTTATATCTTTTAAGAATTTTAGTTCAGAGATTTGAGCAGCTGCTCCTTGACAGGTCCCGTCCTCCTTGAGGATTATCATCTGATAGAGAAATTTGCCCACTTTACAAGGGAGAGGATTCCAGAACGTATTGTCCATGCCAGGGGAGCCAGTGCTAAGGGTTTCTTCGAGGTCACCCATGATATTTCTCACCTTACATGTGCTGATTTTCTTCGAGCCCCGGGAGTACAGACGCCTGTCATTGTTCGGTTCTCCACTGTTATTCATGAACGTGGCAGCCCCGAAACCCTGAGGGACCCTCGAGGATTTGCAGTGAAGTTTTACACCAGAGAGGTGAGGATCTCTCTGATACTTTTGCTTTGTCACTAAAAATATATATGGATATCTTTAGGGGTTAGGTGGATGCTGATTAAAATTGAATATATTTGTTGTGATTACGATGCTTTCAAAATTCTGGTTAAAAAACTGTGGAAAGAAGAATTCTTATATAGCTTATGTGGCTGCAATAATCTATTCTTTTAGATCTATTGCAACAGTGGAGTTCTTTCAATGATCTCTCATTTGATATGCCATTACCCTATATGTTGCCAAGTTTTTAGTCGTTCTTGTGGTTGATATGCACTTATCTGATAATCGTTTTTTGTTGAACTCAGGGTAATTTTGATCTTGTGGGAAACAATTTCCCTGTTTTCTTCACCCGTGATGCAATAAAATTCCCAGATGTGATCCATGCTTTTAAACCCAACCCAAAGTCTCACATCCAAGAGTATTGGAGGATCCTCGACTTCTGCTCCTACCTTCCTGAAAGCTTGTCCACCTTTTCCTGGTTCTTTGATGATGTGGGCATCCCAACTGATTACAGGCACATGGAAGGCTTTGGTGTACAAACATATACTCTGGTCGACAAGACTGGCAAATGTCTGTATGTGAAATTTCATTGGAAACCCACTTGTGGAGTCAAGTGTTTGACTGATGAAGAGGCAGTTCAGGTTGGAGGAACTAACCACAGCCATGCTACCAAGGATCTCTATGATTCAATTGCAGCTGGAAACTTTCCTGAGTGGAAACTCTACATCCAAACTATTGATCCCGCACATGAGGACCAATTAGACTTTGACCCTCTTGATGTTACCAAATGGTGGCCAGAGGACATCTTCCCCCTGCAGCCAGTTGGCCGCTTGGTCTTGAACAAGAACATTGATAATTTCTTTACAGAAAATGAGATGCTAGCATTTAATCCTGGTCTTGTGGTTCCTGGCATCTACTACACCAATGATAAGATGCTCCAGACTCGAATCTTCGCCTATGGTGATACCCAGAGGCACCGTTTGGGGCCAAACTACCTGATGCTTCCAGTTAATGCGCCCAAGTGTCCTCATCGCAACAATCATTATGACGGTTTCATGAATTTCATGCATAGGGATGAGGAGGTACTTAACTTCAACTGGGTTTCCACGGTTGTTGTCATAGTTTACTAGTGTCTCAAAATATGTTCTAAAAAGATGCTATGATGCCTTCATTTTAGGTTGATTACTTCCCTTCGAGGTACGATAATGTTCGTCATGCTGAGAGATACCCCATTCCATCAGATATCTGTGTTGGAAAGCGTGAGAAGGTATATATCTACACTCGACTTCTTTATATTCTTGAAATTGAAGTTTTAGAAGCTTGATGCTGAATGGACGCTTGGGGAATACTTGAGATGAATATTCTTATGAATGCTGAATTTGCCAAACTTATTGGTTAATGCAGTGTGTCATTGAGAAGGAGAACAACTTCAAACAACCTGGAGATAGATACAGATCATGGGCTCCAGACAGGTAAACTTGTGCTTGCCTCAAATTTTTTAATAAAAAGATAATTATGAAAACATAACACTCATATCTTTTGTACACTTGTAATCTGACTGCTTTCAGGCAAGAGCGATTTATCAGCCGGTGGATTAATGCTTTATCTGACCCAAGAATAACCTATGAAATCCGCAGTATATGGATCTCATACTTGACTCAGGTGAGTTCCCTTTTCTTCAAGTGGTGGCGACTATTGCAATCAAATTGAAGGATTAACTGTTGGAAAATCTTCTCGAAAATTTGAAATGTTTTAAGTTGAATGAATTAGTTATACTTCTCTTAATTGATATTGTATTCTGGTTTGAGTACAGACTGACAAATCTCTGGGTCAGAAGCTAGCTTCACGTCTCAATGTAAGGCCATCCATTTAAAGGTGACTCTGGAACTGGATGTTTTCAACTTGTGGGGAATCAACAAGGAGTAAACAAACATATGGGGTGGCGGCTTTGCTGTCTAAAGAGTGTTAAATTAATCCTATGTTTGCGGTGCTGTATTGTAATATTGAATAAATTTGTCTGTTATGTGACTCTTTCACCCGCTGTTCCATCCAATAAAAACCGTTTCATGTTTTAAGTTACTATTCATGTCACTTGTGAATTTTGCTACATTTATGTTCGATACTCGAATTGCCCCAGTTTCTCCTAGTATGTGCCCTGCTTCAACTGGAAATTTCCTAATCAAAGTGTTTGTTGTATAGTTAAGGGTTGCATCCCATATCTTATTGTCCTGTTCTAGAGTCTTAAGAGTGGTAGCAAAATCTGCAGCTCAGACGGTTCTGGGTTTACTGTTGGCGTATTCAAACCCTTCTCGGTCCAAACTGCAATAAACAGTCCTTGATGTCAAGAGTCGCGTTTTGGAGGACAACCAAACCCTAGGTGCGTCCTCACTCTACCCTTTTCCTTATACGCATTAATCAAATTATAATAGCCATCAAGGCCAATTTGTTGTGGATATGTAGTATAATATGAACGTAAGATAAAAAATAAATAATATGGAATAACTGCTAATTGTAAACAAGGATGGGTTTTAAGGTTTGAAACATTGCGCCCAATCATTAACAGATGTGTTGTTGTATAACGCTCCTTTTCCCTTTCACTTTGTTGTGAATATATTGTCTCTGTCATTAGTTAACTGTAGAGCAGCATATTTAAGTGATATAGAACGACAGTGGCAGAGTTTTAGCTGTGGAATGACTAGAGGATTAATCCATTAATGAGAAGATCAAATAAAAAATGCAAAGTTACAGCCAGCTGCATGTTATTGAGAAAGTGATTATGCCGCGAACATGGTGATTCGGCAGTGCCCAAGTGGTTACCAATCAAGGAGTTTTTTTGTTCCTGTGGAAGGGCTGCTACCAGCACCTGCCCAGAATGCATCAGAATAGTGAATTTCCCGGAATCGTTTTGATCCTATACAGGTGATGTTGCACTTATGCTCTTCAATTGTATTGACTTCAATTACATGGTTTTATGGAACCAACCTTACTTCATTTTTATGGTTTTTGTCATATATATCTACCGATGCTTCTGGCACTGAAACTGATCATGGACCCTGCTGTGGCTTCAGATGTTAGTTCTAATGAATTTGGGGCATCAGGTGACGGTTTGGGAGCTTCAGGGACTTAGTAGAAATAGAACATCTTGTTTATTTGAAGCTTATTTTTCCTCAACTTGAACAATTACAGCAACAATCTCAGCCAATTGAATTATCCTGAGCTGGTTCACATCATGATGATTAACAATCCCAGTATAACAAGCAACGCTGAATCTTTACCTGGGTTATGCAGCATGTCTAGGCACTTGTATGAACAAATTTTGAAGCACTCAAGGGCCAAACATGTATGGTTGGGATCGCAGAAAAGTCCTCTGCTTAGCAGTTTTCCAAAGGTGTGATGAGCGCAGGTCCAACATCAGTCAACCATATCTATATCAACTGGTTCTGACACAACGTGTGGAATAATGCTGCCCCAAGTTCTACTCCACTTGCTAACCATGGACCCCATGCTGGTGGTAAGCTTTCTATTGCCCTGTTGTTTTTAATCTTTAGGTTCAGATCTTGTGCATGTACAAATTTTTGCTTCTGAATCCGTTCTCTTTAAATGGTTTTTCCTTCTCTGTTAGAAGAAAAACTGTAGAAGCATTAGGATGATACTCTGCCATCTTTACAGACTTGATATGTGAAATTAATTTAATGAAATTCAACTGTTTTCACCCTACTCTATAGATTTGTTAGAATTATTATCTTAAGGATAGTTTAGTGTTTTCCATGTATAAGAGTAGTTTAACCTTTTCTCTTTTATTTTCGTTGTAACCTATTTATCATATCTTTCCATTGTATTGTTTGGTGTGGTTATGATGAGTGAAACCCTAGTCTTATCTCTTTTGAGTTTCTTCAATATATTAGTTTTTCTTTAATTTATCATTGTATCATAGTAGGTTTATTTGAGGTTTGGACCTGGTCCATGAGGGAGAGTGTTAGAAATTTAATTTGTCTCACATGACCAAATTGATTAAGTTGGAAGGCTGTTAGAAGGTGAATTTGTCTTATATCGCCAAGTTATGTGGGATAAATTCAACTTCTAACACCCTTCTTCACGCTTAGTATGCGGAGTCAAAGTCCAAACCCCCCACCAACTTGGCGATATAGGGTTAAGGTTCGAACAGTAAACAAACATGATTCTGATATATTGATAAATCAAAAGAAAATTAATATATTGAAGAAACTCAAAAGAGAAAAGGTTAGGTTTATTCGCTAGAACCACACCAAAAAATAAGATGAAAATATATAATAAATAAGTTACAAGGAAAAAGAGAGAAAATGTTAAACTACCCTTAAGATAGTAATATTGAACTCTAGCAAGATAGAAAAACATTGAACATAATAGAAAGGGGAGAATTAAAAAAAAAAAAAAAATTATATAAATTATTATAATTTAGAATTTTATGTGTACTTAGGATGATAGGAAGTGATTTTGTGAAGAAAGTTCTTGAACATAAGAATATTTTTCGTACTTTAATATAAAATTGTGGGCCCAAAAGGCGAGGCGTGTGGCTAAGCTGGCGCTCACATCCATACCAATCTTAAACTGCTGCTCTTCAACTCTATCCTATTCCAGCCACTTTCTGGTTTTCAGAGCACACGTTTCAATGCTTTTCACGTATACGTGGCATCCTCAAAATGGTCCATGTCATTTCCTTTCCATTAGTGGTTACCAATTCCTCTCAGAAAACACCAAACCCAGGATAAGGAACGCCAATTCATGACGTTCTCATTTTTTTTTTTTTTTTTCCATAATATTAGATTCATATCTCTTATTGGTGTTCCTTTTTAACCTTCAAACCTATCCACCCAAATATCGCCCGAGATCCTTTTTATCTCGCCTTCTCTTCACGATAATTTGCATTTCCTAATATGGTATATGTCGTAGGGTGTTCGGTTTCTGCTATTTACACTTTTTGAAAGAATCAGATCAGAATCTTGTTCTTTAAAATTTAGAACCAGATCTAGAATTGATGATTTCGGTTCTTAGATACTCAGAACCAGAACCTGTAACAACGGTTTTGGTTCCAGTTCTGGATACCCTATAAAATTCAATGACCCTTCTAAAGTTTTTAAAATAGCAAAAAAAAACCCTAAAAAACTTACAAATACCCCCCATCTAACCTTTTTAACAAAATAAAATTACAAATTATAGTTACAAATTACAAACTCCATTACTTTGTAAAGGTAGATTCTCAAAGTCAAACCAAGTTACTTAATGTTAGAAATATAATATAAATGTATCACATCACTTTTCTACAAAGGTTTTTATAACGCCTTAATATTTAATTTTATTTTATATTAGTCTTGGTTCTTGGTTCTGATTCTGGTTCCTAACTATAGGAATCGAATCAGAACCGCACAATAATGGTTTTAAAAATTTGGAACCGAACCAACCCATTGATGATTGGTTCTGGGTAGAATCGAAACCAAATCCAGGGTACTTGTCAATTTCAATTCCAATCGATTCTTTTGAACACCCTAATATATAGTGTATTGCTTAGTTGTCAATATTACAAAGTCAAACTAAAGTCTATTTTATTTCAGGTGAGGCGTGAAATTGGCGAGTCAATGAGATAAAAATATCGAGGTCTGTTTATGTAATTAACTAATTATTGGTTTTTGGTTACGAAGATAACGGCTAAGGCCTGAGGCCTGACTCCTGAGGCTGGCAAAAATAGAAGCGCGAGCCGCAAGCGATTATAAAATATGCCGAATTGGACGTCTAGCTTCAATTGCCACACAATCAACATTTTCTTCCTTTATATCTTTGATTTTATCTCTCATTTCTCTATTCCCTTCTCCGACCTCGCGCTACTATGGATCCCTACAAGGTACTCTATTGACTATTATTTCTTCTTGCTATTAAAAAATCTGATGATTATCTCAACTTTGAATCTTTCGATTAATTGTTGTTGGGTTCGGTTTCAGACTGATCGATCCGCTTAGATGATTTTTTTTTCTTTGTTTAAATCAATCATGCTGTTTATAATTATAGTTGATTTAGTCGTTTGATTTTTTTTATGAGTTTTGTTGTAGTTATCGTCACATTCAGTGTCTAGGTGTTTTCGATTACCTCTTTTTTAGGTTTTTTTTTTTTTTTTCCCCTCTGTTTGATTACTTAAAAATGAAATTTAGGTGAAAGAAGGAACAAGGCAAAAAAAGAGTCAAAATCGTTTCGCTTTGATTGTAGTTTTTTTGGTTCCTAAGAAAATGAAGATAAAGTCATTTAATTTATTGTTTTCCAATACTTATGCTGTTATGATGTTCTAATTTATAACTCTTTCTTTTGGGTGTTTTTATGATGATACAGCTCATTCCTTCAAGTGCTCACAATTCTACCTACTTTACTACTAATTCTGGTGCTCCTGTCTTTAACAACAACTCTTCATTGACCGTTGGACCTAGAGGTATTCAGCCTTTTATTAAATTAGTCCTTATCATTATCATCTTTAATTTTTTATGCTGTAACTAGTAATAAAAAGTAATTGCTGTGGCTTCCCAATGTACATGTTGTAGATTATATTATCTCTCATTGGACCAAAAAATGATTTGATGAAAGTCTTTGTTATATATAGAGTGATAAGGTATTTTTGTTTAAACAAAAACATTATTTAAATGTGATTTTAGATGGATTATCTTTAGGGATGTTTTTCTGGAGTCATATAGAATAGCTGTAAACTGCCTTGTATAGAAATATGTTATATTTATATCTATGATTAAAGTTATTTGCTTTTATGCATATGCTTAAAAAATTGAGTTTAGAAATTTGAGTTGCTTCGATTTGACAGGTCCAATCCTCCTTGAGGATTACCATCTGGTGGAGAAACTTGCCAATTTTGACAGGGAACGGATTCCAGAACGTGTTGTCCATGCCAGGGGAGCTAGTGCTAAGGGTTTCTTTGAGGTTACCCATGACATTTCTTACCTCACTTGTGCTGATTTTCTTCGAAGCCCGGGGGTTCAGACACCTGTTATTGTCCGCTTCTCCACTGTTATCCATGAGCGTGGCAGCCCTGAAACCCTGAGGGATCCAAGAGG